AATATTAATTATTTTATCAAACAACTAAATTAAATAAAATTAATATTTTTTAAATAATATTATGTGACCCTTAAATTAATGTGTGGCTATTACTGCAGCTTGAAGGGAAGACCAAGTTGACAGCTTGTTACTTACTCGACTACCTTAGATTTTAACCTTGAGAGTCGTGAAAAATACTATTAACTCAATTTTTTTATATTTTAATATTATTTCTTTTAGAGTGATTCGGTCTACAACATTTTCAAGAAAAAATTTTAAAAAAATTTTAATTATTAAGTTAAAATTATGAATTTAAGTATCAAAATTTGTGTGGGGAAAATAAAATGCTTAGAGTAGTAGATTATAAAACTTATAATTGATTACAATGCCTGAATAATATATTCTATGTAACAACACAGAAAGAAAATTTTTGAGCGATATAATTGATTATGTTACATATAATCAATTATTTTATTATTTGAACCACCTGATATCCGAAAGTTTATTGAGCCACCGACTAATTCAGGATTGAGTCGGGCAAGACCTAATAGGCAGCAAAACTCTTTCTCATGAGTTTTAACGGGGGTACATTATCAAGGTTTGAAACCAAAACTTCTTGTTAAATTAGAAGAATTCTTTACTAACTCATTTACCTGTTCATGGGTTACATATATATAATCAATTATGTTTTAGTGTAACTGTTTAAAAATAAAATGTAAGGGATTACATTTTGTTTTAATTTTTATGTCAGGATTGATATTTTTCTGAACCAAATTATATTAACAGCTTCATTTAAAAACAATCCAAAAAAAAAAAAAAAAACCAAATAGGTTCTAAATGTAATCGATTTAGTAGATGGCTTCTTATTTAATGTAGTTGTCCAGAAGTTGTACTAATACGTACGGTAATTTGTCCATATCAACGATGACTAGTCTATTTTGAATTTGTCCCATATGCAATCCAAAGTCGAAACTTGTCTGAGATAATTAATGTTTGTCTAGCTGCAATGGTGTGTAAAATCTGTGGCACGAATAATTAGTGGAAGTGGAGAAACTCTACTTGTATGTTCCTAATTTGTGTCCCATGCTGTTGTCAATCAATAAAAACAATAATCTTATAAATTTTTTAATTTCATGTTAAGGTATCATCAACACCTTAACATGACATTTATGGGAAGAGATTACACATATTGGTATATATGATACCTCTACATGATCCATAGAAATTTTTGAAGCATTTCTTTCTTACTGGTAGCTAGGAAGGATACTGTTCATGTGAAACCGTGCAGATCATATGCAAATGCTTCCAGACTTGAAAACTTATTCTAGATACCATTAATTTAATTTCTAATTGGAACTGTGATCATGTGTTTTATGTTGTAAGTATATATCTATTTTGTGAATGTAATAGTAGCTTAGTTTTAAGCACAAGAAAATTTCAGAACATCCCTTGATCATTACTAATGCTTGTCTTTAATTACATCCCAAGGGAAAGGAGTTATAGATTAAGGAGGTTGGAGGGAGCAAAATTAACCTTGCTCATTGTTTTCAGTCCAGTTCCTTATAGCTTGCAACACAGCTTGCTTCACCACTTGTGCATTGATCCCATGATCTTCCCCTTCATTCTGAAACAATAAGTCAACCGTTAGCATATCAAGAAAGTGTATATGTGCAAGTACCAAGAAAATTACAGGTCCAATGGTACTAGTAATAATATCCATCATTTGTTAAGGTACGTAACTTCAATTAAAATTTTGAAACCATCTCAGTTTTTACTTAATTCAATTAATAAAGTACATGTAAACACATGTTTTCTGTTTCTAACAAAAAAGTTCAAATCTTAGTTTAACCCCAAATATTTGATTAAGTTCAAACGTTGTAGTTCAAATTTCAAACTAAAGGATGCACAATTGATGTTAACAAGGTAAAATAATTTAGTAGTAAGTTTTTTAATAAAAATTACAAAATTTAAATTTAAATTTTATTATTTATTCATTAGATAAGTTAAGAAATAAAAAATAATTATTTTTTACTCTACAAGTCAAAATAATAATAATAATAAAAGGTACGCATGATTAATTCCCACGTGGTGAAATTGATTCTTTAGATCCCCTCCCCTCCCCCACAAACTTATAATTAAAAAAAAAAAATGAAAGGATAGAAATGAAAAGCCCTCAAATGAAGACTTTTTGGCATTAATGATGAGAAGAAGAAATTCCACGTGTAATATATATGTCAATTACTTGCCTCTCCTCCAATTGCTTCTAGCTGGAAATTTTCTGCACAAGAAACCCTAGCATTGAGCACATCAAGACCCAGATCCTCAAAGGCTTCAAGTATTGAGATGAGCAACCCGGGACAACTCTTTTCCAATGACACATTAATCAGGAAACCTTTCTCTAGGGATTCCACAGTAACCTGCTGATAAAATAAAAATTTAATGATCAACAAGGCTTGTTAGCTAATAATCTGTTCTACGCTTCTGCTCGCGCGTCAATTAACCTTTCATTTCTTCATCATCTTCTCAATAAGTATACATATGATCAAAGAAAGAAACATTTACCATAGGTAACTGATTCTCAGTAGATGATGAAGAAAGTGATGATGAAGTTCCACTAATCTCTTGGTTCAATCTCTCAACTTTCTCCTTCAAATTCTCTATGTATCTCGATGCATCAACAATTATTGAAGTTTTATTGACCTACAAATAATTAGAATGTAAATCCAATATTGAGTTCAATCAATCACTAATTAATTAACCAAAAATACAAAAACAAAATAGGATAACATGGAGAGAAGTATAAGAAACTAATTGAGGAGAAGTGGCAATTAATGAAATGAAAATTTGAAGAGAGTATATAGATATGGCAAGTAATTACAGCAGTGGAGTTGGTAGCAGTGCGAAGGCGTTGTAGTTTCTCATAGAGAGATGCTCTCTTTCTGGAGCTCATGGTGGTTTGTGAGGTCTGAGTCTTATCCTGAGCTCGAAAATTTTTCTGTCTCCTCGCGACTTTGTTGTCTCTGTCGCTCTTTGCCTCTTTCTTTCACAACGGGATTTTGGGGGTTTTTAAAGGCGCAGCCGAGGCATCGTTTACTTCCTGCATGAGGCCCTCCGCTTCCTGACATTAGAGTTATTACTCATCATACCATATTTACCAAATTGACCTCTTGAGGTTTTTTTTAATCTTTTTTTTAATGATATTTTTTTATTTTCTCTTAAAAAATTACAAATATCACAATCGCATAATTAGTGGGGTCTATAAGTTTTTTTTTTTTTTTTTTTGATCTTGGGATGTATAAGTATTGGTTCAAAAGAGCCATAAGATGTGGTTCTTATTACTATTATTTTTTGAATAATATTATTATGAGACGGGTTAAAACTCACCTAAAGAAAAGAGAGATGCATTTTAAAGTGATTAAAAGTTACTTGACTCAAAGGACTAAGTGCAGATGTGGTTTTTATTTATTTTTTCCACACCTTATAATTGTAATTATATATATAGGTATTTTTTTTTATAAATTTGAATAAGAAGAAACTATATATTCTTTAAAAAAAAAGGTTTTTTTTTTTTGAAAAGAAAAAAAAAAGTCATTTATTTCTGCATGAGGGTAATTTGGCCCATTTCTTGTATTAATTCAGCACCTTTCATTCTTATACTTAAATATTTTAGAGAAGCGAAAAAATAGATAATTTTTGAAATTAGAGGAATGGAAGTGCCTTCCCTTTGTTGAGGGATGGCAGTGCCTCCATTTTAAAAGCCAAGTGATCAAAATGTACTTAACCCAAAAGATATAACAATGAAATAACCATTCGTATTTTGTCTTTTCTTTTTTTTAAAAAAATTTCATACACATTTTTATAGTTTAACTAATAAATAATGAATAATGATAAAAAAAAAATCAAAAAAAGAAAACAATTTTACGAAACAATCCCGAGCTGACTTATCACATCAACAATATATTAATAAATAAAATTCATATTTATCTCACTTTTTTTCCACATCCTTTTTATGTCATTGGTTCCATGAATTCGTCTCATTTTTTCGTCTTTTGTATCATTACCCATAAATAATTAGTCCAGATAACACATAATGAGTTCAAAAGGGTTCAAACACATACTCCCCCTTCGCACAGGGCAGACCCACTTGCCCTTATCCATCAAAATTTCAGTACTCATTAACTTCCAATTGAGGTTGAGATTCAATTTCGCACCCCACTTCAGTTATCCATGTTAAGGACAATATGGATTGGGAAGCCCATACGGATCACCAATTTCCACCCAAAATTTTCCCGAGAAAGAGTCCTAATCCTAAAGAAACGAAAGGAGATGATGTGGGGGCATTTTGGTATGAGGACTGAGAGGGAGAGGACGAGGGAGGAAGAGTGAGATGTACATTTGTGTATGAGATACGGAGATGAGAGAGGGACAAAATGGTGACGGCGAGAGAGATATGAAATAATTCTCCCCCGTGAGAAGTATTTGGAGGGATTCACAGCTAAACACATCCTTTGACGCTTCTTTCAATGCCTCTCCTTTCCTTTGTTTCCATTGCCTCCGACGATTGATCACGAGCAGATTCCATACCAACATCTTCACCTTGCACGTGTCCCTGTTGCCTAAACTTACACACCACCACATTCACTACTCAACGCGTATTTCCCTATTTCAAAATCAGTAAAAAAAATGGAGTTAGATGTTTTGTTTTCGTTCTAGAAAATAATAACTTGGTCAAGAAGCATCATTATTGGCTCTTTTTACTCAATAGAATCCGTGATTTTAACCAAGTTTAAACTTTGAATTCAGGTCAGTTTTTTTACAGTGCTATATAAATGCATTGAAAAAAGAGAGCAATGGATGAAAATACAACAAAGTTGAGTGGCCAAAATGAAAACGTCCCACGCGTTTTGATATGACCACCAGTGTCATTTAACCAATCTCTTTTCTTTCTACACGTGACCAACTCCCAAAATATGGGTGCATGCCTGCAGCATTGGATTCATTTCTTCGTGATCATGGGTTGTCTTCTTTTGTGATACAACTTAGGCAAAACTTAGGGGGACTTAGATGCTACTTATTACATGAGTTGTTCATGTCAGCAGAAGATCTTATCAATAAAAGCAAAAACCCTAATGAATGAGTACACCAAATGTATGTGACGGGTTTTTTGCAGTTTAATGTCTTCATTCCCAAATCCAAACGTACCCACCAATTCACATGTATGCCTACTGATCATCGCAACAAAACAATCCCACAGTACTGCTACGGTTCACAGACTACTTGCAGTTGCTCCATCCCTTTGTCTCTTGCTCTCTCTTCTTTCCATTTTATTCTTCTTTTTGGGGTTTGTTGATCTATGATTATAAGGTTCTACCAGTATATTTTCACTATGATTTAGGCCTAAAAGCAAGGGAAGACATCTGTATTTGGATGTCAATTCCCCTACCATAATGCATCAGCATGGAACAACTTTGCAATATTACATGACATACCTGAATCTATGGGAGGGGCAAACTTTTCTTCTTGATAGCTACGTCGACAACTAATGAACCCATATACTGCATCATGTGAAAATGAAATGATATCAATATCAGTTAAAAAGGAGCTATGATTTCAAAGGATAATATCAGGAAAATAGGTTATTTTTCTTCATTACAAGACCAATGATTGTATGACTGTTTGTTCTCGAGTGGAATTGGAATCACTTAATAGTTACCTGAAAACTGGACGGAGTGGTTGATAATTAGACATTGTGCTGGCATTGATGAAATTTGACAGCATGCAATTTTGTCTGTTTGAATGTGACATTGAGCTTATCAGGATGATATACACTGCTAGAAAAGCAATTATGTAGTTAGTAGAAATATATAGACAAGACAAGGTAGAAAAACCATCCACTGATAATGAAAACCTAATAAATCCTCTGGATTTATTGCGGTTAATAAGTGTATCTGGACATACATGTAAACATGTACACTACGCAAACGCTTGAAATCTTTAATTAATTGATTGTAACCTTGCTTTGAGGAAATAAATTATTGGCAGACAATACATGGAGAATTATACACATATAGATGATCATGCGCTCTAGAGATTAATGAAAACAGAAATATGTAAGAAATCATAAAAAAATAAGTTATAGCAGGATATATTGCTGACCTGTAAACCATTTATAACTAATTTAATAATTGAATCACACAAACAAAACCTTACGAACAGAGTTAAGAGCATGGAGATGATTTTATGGACAATCAGACAATTCAGATATTATTGATACAAATAGTGCTAAATTTGGAAAGGTGTCTCGTGACAAACCATTATTTTTCTAGACAAATTTTTCTGCGAAATGAGATTCCAATTTCCTGCAAAACAGTAGAGACAATTCTACGCATATAAGAAAAGTTTGATCCTATATATAGACCTCAGTAGCAAAACCACCGTGATCATTTTTTCTAATTCCCTACAATCTGCCAAGATAAGAAAATTGTTCATATAAGAAAATCAATCATAGATAATAGATGAATGCTTAATAATGGGCTAAATCTCTATCTCACTTCATCAAGCACAACAGAAGTTGATTAAACAATGAGATTGCATAGTGTATACACTAATACTTGGGATTACAGACCATGCAGAGAAGAGATTGTTCCAAACTATGGTTTTTTCATCTGATAGAATTGGAAGACAATTTCTTTGTAGTTTCAACATTGAAGGGGTATTAATCAGGAAGTTAAAACGTTGTCAAAATTTAAAGTGGAAAGGTAAATGTCCTTTGTTTGAATGAGAGGAGAAAGCCTGGACAAAACTCCTACCTTGTCGTAAGTCACTTTCCATTTGTAAAGTGGCTTGCAGTTCCTATCATACATGTAGAGACAGGCTTTTAATTAAGAGCACTTGCAGTAAGCAGACAAGGCAGAGCATGAGTGCAAACAACGAGCTTCACAATCTCTTGACAGCTATATATTTTTGTCAGCATTGAAGTTTACAACACAAACATTGATACCCCAAAAACACCTCAACATAGCCTATCAAGGAATAGAATTTCATCATTATTTAGTGGAATGAATTCTCATAGCTTCAAAACCATGGTGGGACAACTACTATCTGCTCTCAAAATACATTATATTGAGAAGAATCAAAGAGCTTGTGGAGAAATAAGCAGGTATCATGGAACAACTCAACCTAAAAGTTCAATTAAATCCAGTTAATATGATTTGATATGATATATCATATAAGAATTGAGAGAACCAAAACTAGTAGAAAACCGTTTGCCTATAAATGGCTAAGGCTTGTAGGGCAAGATGGGCATGCAAGAGAATGACAATTGATGTTTTTAAGTGACTGAGGGTCCAGGGAGACAAAGGCAGGGCTGTGTTGTGACGTGAGACTTGTGACCTCTAAGGTTCACGGGCAACGTTCTAGTTCCGAAACAGAACAATTTTCTTCAAAAGAATAAGAGAAAGAAAATATTATAGGAAACAAAACTCAGGCTAGCAGCATATATTGTACAAAAACTGTCCATGTCTCATTTCCTCACATGTGGGATGTCAAACAAAATCCACGTATGAAACTGCATGATGGCACGAGACTATGAAGAATCCTCTTTTATCGAGGATTATGGCATGTAGGATTGTAGGGTCACCACCTCACTTGACAATAAGGTTTATTGCCTTGAACTGGATGTTTAATCCCCCATAAAATAGGAGAAAGAAAGACCTTTCTTTCTGGGCTACAGTCGAAATGTGACAGGTATAATCTTAAAAAAGATCATTCTGCAATATATAGCAACACCCATTACCCCCAAGATTCCATCCATTCTTGCGATAATAAGCTCCATTCAAGTTAATTTAGAAAAAAGAGTAATTGGCAGCAGAATTATGATTACGAACACCATCAATTACAAATGATAAGAATAGCTTAATTATATCCATAGCCAGGTTTTAAGACATATCTATCACAGAGAATTAACACTTACAGTCCCAACTGCAACCCAACGGGATAGAAGAACGGTAATGCCCTGAGC